TACACGTTCTTCAAAGTACGTCTAAATTTCCAACAAAAACATTATATTTTGGAAAGTATGTGTCGTAATAAGGCAAAAGGTTTACTTACGACTATTATTTTAACACAGAATTCGTCGTGTTTTGTTCATATCTTTAACCTTATCCAAACACAAAGAGCATCCAAAAACATTATTCTTGTTTAAGAGCTGTGCTCATGTCGGTGTAGTAATCGTTAACTACCTCTGTTGAGCGCCCTAAGATTGAGTTCCTGATACGACTTTAAGTTTTTCCCTTAAAACAGGCACTACAAAAGACAAAATCATATTATATCGCATGATTCATTATAATACTTATGTAAGTAATGGTTTCTTTTTAATTTATGTAGTTTATAATATTTCTTTCTCATTCTCTCTTGCACGCTATTGCCCGGTTATAACCTTAGCCCTCACTGCCCTGGCAGTGGCTGGCGTTGGCTGGAAGAGATCTCTTTTAGAGTTTATGTTGTATTTATTTGGTGCAATAAAGAATAATAAATGCAATTTGTTACTCTGAGGTTTTCAGCTACAATTATGTGTAACCTACATAGTTTTAGAAGTATTATATACTAACTTTCACCTACCACAATAAACTAGTGCTTTTTTTAAGTATTACATTTAGTGTTACTATTCCACTAGCAAATTAGCATTTCTGATCATGCAATATCGTCATAAAGGATTCCTAAAAACAAATTATATGATGAAATTTCATTTTAAACTTTAGATTTCCCGTACATCAGATTACCGTAGATCTGGGTCAGCAGTCCTGTGCTGTATTAGTTTGTAATGCAAAACGACCGTATGTAAAAAATTACGGTATCTTTCACGGATTTAGTAGTAAACTGTTCGACATCTCAGCGATCTCTATTACTACTACAAAAATGTCGGTATCGCGCTGTCGGTATATCCCGTTCCCCTTATACAGCATAATGTCACTACGTCAGTCATCTAGGTAGTTCTAGGTAAACAACGTTCACGGGGTTTTTGCATTATAAAGTTCGTATTCTCAAATCCAAGTTGGCGTTACAAATTAAAAAATACTGGTTTTAGTATAGTGACATTATCATTCTCAATGTGCGTTATCACAATATAATATGATTTTGTCTTCTGCCCCCGCTTCTCTTTAATTCGATGTTCCCTTATATAATGCTTGTAAGTAAACAGTCGGGACGTAATAAAACATTGACCTTCCAAAAGTTCATGATTCCTGTTTTTAAGGGGTTCTTCTCACGCAAATGAAGAACATGGTACGTTTAGACATTTATGTGGTGTCAAACTCAAGGGTAACTCACATTAGACAGTAAAATTGGTAAAGTCAAAAAATCATTGCGATTCTCCTGGCTAGTTTGTTACCCTTTCTGTTTGAAGTTTTAAACACATTATCGTATAAGTCATCTACGTATACATTTCATGTACTACGTCCGTGCTACATTATGTACATTTTGCCACGTGTATATAGTATATAGGCCCTTACACAGAATTATATAATAAGATATATGATACGTAAAGAGGAATTGTAGAAGAGGTACTTTCTAAGTCTTATTAATTGCAAAGGTCAACATTTATTCATACTTAGATTCAATTAAATCCAATTAAATTGTTCAATTAATTGATACTACTATTGGATTAAAATTATAACAATAAAAACAATATTTAATTTTTTTACACATGGCAAGTATTTGTTTTAAATTTACAATTTGTTTACTACAGTTTTGAATACATACATAGATAGTAATTTTACATTGATATGATTATATTAATTATTTGTCGGCTTTATAAGATAGTTTTGCAGTGTAAACCATACTTTTATATGTATATATCTGTAAACCAGCATCTCAGTAAAACCATGTAAAACTTTAAGCACGGTGTAAAAGTATACTATTTACTCCGTGCTTTAAGCCCTATAAGCCAGTATTTAGTGATGTACTGAATGAACATCGGGATACTCGAAAACCACGAATATATCCGAACACTGTTTTTATCTATTTGCATTTATACGAAACTTTTGTAAGAGTTTCAACGATTTTCGCATAAAACCATACACCCTATTCTTCATTTTTTCCTTCATTTTGGTTTCAATTTTCATTTAGGTTTTCAATTTCCATATAACATCAAACATGGAAATGGTGTAATTGTAAATAATTGTAATTGTATAGCAGTTACAGTGCCACTTAGGGTTTTAAAACGCAAAGATCTGAAGGTCACTGCCACTGCTTGTCACCCTGAGACAAGTTGACAAGTTTCATGTGCCTCTAATTCCACCAGCACCCTTACCCTTCAAAACCGGAACGCTGTAATCACAGTCACGTTACTGCTTGGCGGCAGAAATAGGTTAGATGGTGGCGGGAGCTCAACTGCTACTGAAAGCATATTTTTGCCATTTAGTACTTAAAGTTATAAACAAATCACTTATTAAAACTACAACTTATAATCGTGGTAACAGCGGTCGGAAATATTCGTAGTTTTTTAGTTTTCACGGTGTTTATTCTCTACATCTGAAGTACTCTCTCTCTCCGTGAAAATGATACCGAGATATTCCAGCTCCCATGATTAAATTAAATAAGAAATTATAATTAATGAAGAATCAGTATAGTAATATTTTCAACTAACAAAACTGAAAATAATAGCTGTCATAATCAATCTCAATAGCTGTCATTTTTTTAAATAGTTATTTAGAAATAAAATAAATAACATTCACCTACTGTATAATGTAGATTACATTGATATGAGTTAATTTAAACTAACATTAAATATTAAATACATAATGTTAAAACAAAAAACTACTTACATTCAAATTAAGTACGAAATTAAACAACTATATAAAGTTACTTCATGAAACTAAAAAATGTAACTTTTCGTGTTAGCTTCTTAACGTCGCTAAATGCACAAAACAATAGTTTAAGGACGACGCTCTGGGTTTTGACAATCATTAGCAGAATTTAACCTTGTTTTATAGCTCGGCAAAACTCGTGGCAAGCTCCGGCGGGACATCAACGAATGCCTCGTTTAAATTAACTAAATAAGCCACTTGTCAGATTTAAGTAGATGCAAAATGCAACGGCCTTTTTTATTTAATTTTTTTGTTGTAGCAACATCGACAAATGTTACGTATGGTAATAGTGTGATCGCCGAGTTCGGATACTCGCATACGTCAATGAGTTTTACTTAGTTCTCCGAGCGTTTGGGACTAGCGCTTGTGACTAGCTTAGTGCTTCTTTTTCACTAAGTCGTGTTGTTATTTGATTAATGTGTAAAGTCAAAACCAACGCCGTCATAACAGGGTCCACAAAACATTTTGTCTTTTAACTCGTAATCAACGTCACGTCGTATGTAATTATTTGTTTTCATCAGTCATCAGATGAAAATACTATACTAAAATTGTTATAAAAAAATCTTATATTCTAAAATTTTTGTCTCTGAATACAGTACTGTAGTATGATGATTTTTGTGTTTTGCTTTCAATGGTCGATGTAATGGGCATAATCATGGCCCATCCGCAATTCTATACGAGTAAAGAAAACGATAACAGAGAAAAATACTTATTTCCTATAGACTTTCGACCTTTAGGTCAATTTGATGAAACAAATTTTCAAATATTAACTTTTGTGACACAAAAAAGAAATCCTCGTCCGAAAGCCTATTTTAGTGTCACAACACTAGAAATTGTTTTCTAATTATTACGCATCTGTTCCCTTGCCGAATTTAGCCCATACTTGGCAGCCCTTTAGTCTTCCATATGCTGAAGTTTTTCGAGATTAAACGGTAGCTGTTTAAAGGTCATCACCCACTTTAGTGCTAGTACGAAATCAGCGTCTTTAATATTAAAATTGCAATGCTAATGATCCGAATGGTTAGCGCAGACATTTGTATCTGTAATCAACTAATTGTACGATTTAAATATACTGCAAACTCTACAGCACATGTACGACGCGTAAAATTGCTTATATTGTTTATAGGGTACAAGGAAAACCATAAAGCGCTTCGCACAAAAATTTGCATTAATGCATCGTAATATGTCTTAAGATTTCGGGAGGGAAAATTTGTCTTATTTGTCTTTTCCTTATGTTGGCATGTAAACTTCTGACCGTGAATACCAACATTCATAAATTCGCAATAAATTTGCTAATATAACCCTTTCCTCTATAAAGGGGTAAAAGTAGTCATTTAAATACTGGAATAATCTTAAAGAAATTCCTATTAATGACTAGGGTACGCAAAATCTCAAAATCCCATTTTAATAAATGTGAAGATGCACCGTTCAATACGCAACAGCATCGCCGTTGCGGCTTCTTACAATGAATTCACGTTTGCTCTACAACCCATTGCTTACGAGCATAATGCTGATGAGAGTAGAACAAGGTTGTTCAACCCTAAGATTGTATACAACCTATGATAATAGGAAAATAACTAACACTGAGCATTCTCAGATTTCATTCGATCGACTTTAAGTACGCACATTATATCCAAGCTTTCAATTGACAAGTGACAATTGAGACTTCAATTTCGGTTTAATGATAAACAGACTGTAATAACGACTACGTGCACGACATTAACGTCGCCATCGTAGCCGCGGGTGCTACGTTATACGAAACCTCTTGTACTAATATAATTTTCATCACACTTGCATGTAAATAGTATCATTGCATGCAGGCTAACTTGAATATAATGCCCCAAATAAAACCCTCCCGCCTTTTTTCTTCTCGTTACAGCCATAGTCGTGTAATGAGAAAAAAAAAGGCCTGAGGGCTTCACCTGGGGCATTATTGACAAGTTGGCCTGCGTGCAATCATATTATTTACGTGCAAGTGTAATGAAAAACATTGTATTTCACGGGCAGTACGATCATTACGAACCTCGACTCCGAAAGCCCTCAGTCTTCGACTTCGGGTTGCTAGTGGAGCCTCGTACGTAATTCCTTATTTACCGCCCTTAACACATAATGTATTATATTTATTAAAATTTTTTTTTTCATGTAAAACAGACACGCTTGGCCATAATCTAGTCCAACGTTAAGCGTGAAAAATGGCTATTCTCTCTAGCCTTGAATTTTCAACAGAAAAACTGGAATTTTGAACAGTTTTCGGGAAACACTGACGAACTCCATTCCTTTGGCATATGCATTAGAAAAGTCCAAGCAAAGCGCTTCCTGCGAATAGGCGGTAAATTGATATAAGTATGGAGCGTTCTGGATTTCGTATCGACAACAATATGTCGTCTCAAGTAAACATTACAGTATGTACGAAGCCCAATATTAATCAGCTTTCTGTTCAATTATGAGCAGCGCGTTTCCCTTGCATATACCCCTCCCACCGCTTCGCCGTATTCAATAGAATAGGGTCATTATCCAGCCCGGCTAACAAATACAACTGGTTTATATGAGTAGCGTGGTAGTCCCACCTTGCAATGTTAGGGCTTACGCCTAAAGTAAAATGCCGTAAGTCGTAGAAGCTGCCGCTGCCTGTGTCAAACAACGGAAGTAAGGTTTTGAGTGACGTCATACCGTCGTCGAACATTTTCTTGGCGAGTGATATAGAGTTTTCTCCCTCGATGACGTGCAGGTCGTATAGGCCGAGAAGAGTGTAGATGAAGCCGTTCAGGACGAACAGGGGTGGTTTTGTCGGATACTCTTCGTACCTGAATAAATAAATGTGTTTTACGCTACAAAAACTCGTTTTACGATAGTGCTTGTATTTAAAAATATAAGATTGAACTAATTGAGTCTAAGGTTCAAAAATAGAATCCAGAGCGTAGCGAAACACGCAACTTTTCACCTCACTATAGCGAGGAAAATGAAAGATGAAAGAAAACCAGTTGAACCATAACAAATCAGCGCAGTTCGACCAATGGTATTATACTTGTAAACAATAGATGCGCAATCTGCGCCTTGAAACGGCCCCACGGCACTGTTGTCCACAGGCAACAGTGACATCAGTCACCATCTTGAATTCGAGTGAGTACAACGTCACCGAGACATGACAAAAAAGTATCAAAAATGGTGAAATAAGTAATAATAATAATAACACACACACTCAACATACCCCCGCACTAGGGAAACCCTGTGTCGCGGGTGCCATGGACACACACATTGACAACCACAAATTACACCCAAACTCACGAGAGAAACAAATGTAAGTCATACAAATATTTCTCCCGGCCCGGGAATCGAACCTGGGACCTCTGCGTGGCAGTCCGGCATGGTAACCGTTCGACAGAGGCAGTAATTAAAATTTGCAATTCTCGGTTCGAAAATTATCATAAAACTACTGAGGTTACTTTCAACAGGTAAGTTTGCTTTTGTTTGTTTAGATTGTCGTAAATAAAAATAAAATAAATTTATTTTAAACATCAATGTTGCCAGTAAATCAATTTTCATTTGCCAATAATATTGGGAGTTAACCTTTCATTCGTTCAGAAAGTAATTCAAGTTTATTCGTTGTAACGTTTTAACGTAAAGCGTAACCATAATACTATTAATACGTAATACTATTAAAAATGATATTTTGTTTGTTTCCCGGTATACCTAAAGATCGAACACGCAGGGCGGAGTGGTTAAAAATTATACGACTTTTACGGAAAGATACGTTGAGTAATAAAACACAAGGCAATTGTATAACAAGCTAATGGTGCAATAATAAACTATAGTTAAATATTTGTGTATCAAGTAATTTGTAATACCTACCATTTTATGAATTTGTTTTCGTTAAATAGAAACAGAAACTTTGTCGGAAGGCAGTATTTTTATAGATAAAGGTTATCCAATAAATAAAAAATACTAGAAAAGCAATGAATTAGAAAGCCATCTCTTCATATTTTAAAAGAACTATGAATTCCAGGCGTGAACTCTTAAGTTCATACACTTTCATGTATATTTCACTTACACGTTCATTCCATTTCTGATAACTATCTATCTCCACTGTCTCTTTCCACCAGTAAGGCTACAAGAAATTAGGGAAAATTGTTTCTAAACCGGTAACACTGGTCGTATCCCTATGACTATCTCGTTTTGACATAATAAGTTTGACATTAGAAAAAAAGAGACAAATATATTTTTCTTTGAAATTTCAATCAGTTTCAAAACTAGCCTTTAAATTTGCAAATGGTCCCACATTTTAGACAACTGTTTGTAAGACATTGCGTCTCTATTGTTTATGCTCACTGAGTTCGACGAATTAAAATAATTTAATAAACAAAATTAGTTATCGTTAGGAGACGAAACTATTTTTCTGGATATAAATCGCATATATTAGTTTCTTCAAACTAACCAACGTTTCATAAACAACAACTTTTGTTTCATGAAGTCTAATAACCCATCAGGTTTTACTTAAGGTACAAGTGGCTATTTAAATTATAACTACCGCTAGAGATCTTCTGATTCTTATCAGGAGAATCTGCCTTACGAATGAGCAATAGTGTTAAATCAATTTGGCCATTTGAAGAGTAATTTACTTACCTAACCATAGTTATTAGGAATTTGAATGGACAGGTGAAAAATGAACAATACTGACCACACGTATTTGTCCATCCACATGGCTTTGACCCCTCCCTCGTGGCTGGGCACGTCGAGCAGGTACAGCGCCTTCTTGGCGGCGCTCAGGTACGCCGCGTCGCGGCTGCGGTGGTACGCCCGCGCCAGCACAGAGATCGCGTGACCTTGGCTCATTGCTGAATGCCTGCCGAACACAAATGGGTACTTTCATTTGCAGAATAATTTAATCCTCGATTTCATAAAATCACAAGTCAAATGATGACTAATTACTCAATTAAAAAGGTACCACAATTTCGTTTTGCTAAGGTAAACGATTCATTTATGGGGAACTGTACACGTTTTTACAATAAAATTCCGGAGCATATATTAAGTTTATCATTTCCTAAGTTTAAAACTTACATTAAAAATATTTTAATTGAAAAGACATATTACAAAATTGAAGAGTATTTGTTTGATAAAGATGTAAAGAAAGACAACAAGAGTCGAGGTTCCACACATTTATGATTCAAAGTGTATTCCATAGCATTTAAGTTAATTCGAAAAGAGCAATCCGTAGAGTTTCTTGCTTGTCCTTCTCAGGGAGATCAACGCAGTGAACGAGCAGTAAGTTAAAAAATGACGTTTTCAAGTGTAAAAATGTTACCTATGGAATATATGATCGTATGGGATTCAGCTACCGAACTCGGCACAATGTTAAACCAACTCAACACCTCAAGCCTCAAGGTTGGACTCTGTATGAACAGGTCGAAGACCAAACTTATGACCAACTCGGCAGAACACAGGACACAGGTAGGGGATTGAGTATGTGCGTGAGTAATTGTACTTAGGCCAATTAGTATCCTTTCAGAGCAGACAAGATGCTGAAATCACAAACAACTGAAAAAGCCTTGATCTATGAAACATCTGATGAAAGGCGACTTACCACTCACGCTCAAAAGAAAACTCATGGGTGTGTTCATTCTACCCATCCTCACCTACGACGCACAAAGCTGGTCACTAACAGCGCGGCAGAAGTTCAAACTTGGGGTCTGCCAACGAGCTATGGAGCTGCTCCTGGGAGTCAAATTGTCAGACCGAATTAGGAACAGTGATCCGCGCTCCAAAACACGAATCGTAGATGTGGGTCAAAAACGGGTAAACTAAATTGGGAATGTCATGTCAGCCACCACGAAAATGACCGTGCAGCACGCTAAAGCATCGATGGAGAGACGAGCTAGACGCGCATCTAAAAGACAGGACCTCAGTGGCGCAAAACAGAGATGTGTGGAGAGAGACCTTTGCCCAGCAGTGGGACAGTATTGGCTTTAAAAAAAATGGTTATTTGAGTTTGACTTTAAAACCTCCGCACCTCATTGGGTGTTAACAATTTGGGAAAATCATACTAGCTCGTGCATAAATTTGTTTTTACGATATCAAATGATGGGACGACCAATTAGTCGCGGGACTGGTGGCAAGTGACACGCCTACCCCTAACAGTACCACTCACATCTTTAAATCGCTGATCTGAGTAGCGCTACCAGTGCGTCGGTCATCCTATACAATAAATCAATACGCAATACTCAACAATTTTATTACTCTCAAATGCTCGTAATTTCCGTTTGCATTTTTTTGTAAAATCAGAAGTTTTAGTTTTTATCACCCTATAAAACTGATAATATTTATCAGACACAAATTCTATTTGATGAATTATAATGTCATATAATAAAAAAAACCTGCAACGCGTTGTAAATTCAACGTACTGGAGTAAATTCGTTTATTCCTAACATCAAGCAGGGGAAGCCACAGAAATAAAATAGTTAATTAGACATTAATAGTACGTCTAGTGCTAGACTATAGCAATTATACTAGTAAGCAATGTACGTAGTAAATAAATAAATTAGAACCAGAAATGAGTGTGGCTAGCGGATAGGTCAATAACTCCATCGTTGTTGGTTTCCGCTTACGAAGTGGAATAACACGGGTTTTATTTATTCATCGGCACATGTTGGAATCTCACAGCCTCGTTTAAAAAAGTGCCATTTGGTTGGACAGTTAATTTTATATAAGTTTTTTTTTTACATATCTTTTTCGTTATTGTTTTATCATTTTTGTCCCTAGTTCAAAGTTTACTTATTCCATAGTCATATCAGTTTTTAGTAATGAATTTGGGTAAATAAGATTTCAAAATACTCCGAATGCGAGACAAAATCTTCATTTCGTACTAACTATATCACAC